TGAGACTTGCTACATAGATCTTCTAGGATTATGCAGACACCTGATTAGTTTTAATTGGATATTAATTACCTAATTTGCATAATGTTCCACTGATATATAAAGAACCACAAATTGGATTTTAATGAAACTTTAAAAGAGAACTATGCAGAAACCTAATTAGTTTTTGGTAAATATTTATGCTTATTAATAACCTAATTAACATAATTAATTAACACTGATATCTCAATTACTGATCATCACATTTGAATAAAATTTGGTACATAAATGCTCTAGGACAATAGACAGGCCTGATTAATTTTGATTAATATTAATTCTCTAATTAGCATAATAATTCATAATTTTTTTGTTCTGTTCTGTTCATATTAGTTACCTGATTTACATAATTAGTTTTCAGCTATTCCATCAATATCTCATGTACAAGTAATTTTGAATTAATTTTTGATGTGTCTTCAATACTCTCAGCACATGGGAGTTCTTTCTAAGCTTTCTTTTATTCTTCTCTTATCTTCCAAGCATAGCGGGCTTTATCACTGCAAAATGAGTTGTTCATCGCTAATTAGCTTCGCTGTTGACAAAGTCGACACAGCAGAGCTGTTCATATTACTGATTGTTCATCGTCGTCTTCGTCGTCAACTTTACAATTTCAACTAATTCTTCGAAATCACAAGTCAGAATGTTTTAAAATTTGATATGCAAGTACCTTGGATGGTTCTTTCTCAGATTTGTTCATTTTGTGTTAAAATCTCAAATTCTCTAATTTTGGTGAATATTTTTATCATTTTTGGTAAAAAGTGATATTTTTGACCTGTTGTAAAAAACAGCAAGTCTGATTGCTTTGATATTACATATATAGGTACTACATGTGGACTTCTCTCAGAGTTTTCTAATGATATCTTCAGTTCTTCGCTAACAGCAGAGCTATCTCAGCCGACAGGCTGCTTGTTTTTTTACTGTGAACCGCCCGGCCCACTTTCCTTTTCTACTTGCTTTCTGCTTAATTGCTGGCTGAAAATAAAACAATTGCTCACTTGCCAACCACTGAATAAACAAATGTGACTGCTCTATTACTGTGTATGAAATGGGAGTGTTAATGGCAAAGTTTCAAGATCTGTAAAATTACTAATTTATGCATAATCTTTTGAACATTTCAATTTTTCCTGACGCCTAGATTAGACTAATTTAGGTTTTCTGTAGTCACTGATGTCTATTCAAGAGTATGATGTTTATTGTGGCTAAGCGTGAATGGATAAACCTTGTTTCGACAATGAGATGTTATCGCCATAAAAAAATGTTAAATACTTCTTCTTCGAATGCTCAGCAACTAATTTCCTTATTAAAAAAAATCATGCCGTTTTCCCAACAAAATCAAAGCCAAAAGATCGTACTACAACATTGATAAATCCCTTCTGTGTTGCATTCACCAAGAAGACACTGAACTGTCATTAACATATTTAAATGTGCTATTGTAATTCAAACGTGTTGGCACCATCCATCATTTTGATTGGTTAATGAGCGACTTGACCCATCAGGTCAGGAAACAGTTTCAAGTCAACTCGCGCATGGAAAAACATGGCAGATAACATATCGCATCAAGCGTTTACATGTGACCAAAATCATTCACTTGCAATGAAACTAAGTTGAAATTTACTTGCATTTCATAACAATTCAACAAATTAATTTTTTGTATGTTATTATAATCACGAGTGCACAACAGCCAAAATCGCCAACTTTGTTCATATGACACCCATATGTCCCGCACGACGATTACCGCCCTTTAAATATATTTTATTCTTATCATGTGAAATTTTTGTTGATTGACATTAATTTTTCAACATTCGTGACATCTATTTTAGAACCAAATTAAGGCCTTCCACTCTTCCACTCTTCCATGACGCCTAAATTAGAGTGATGATTAAACTAGAAATTTTATGTGTATTTCTCTTTTGCATTTCTGGTTCACTTTTTCCACCTCAGCCAATTCTTGTTTTGTGTTATTCTCTTGCTTTAATTGTATTTATATCCCTGCACTTAAACTGAACCACTTCTGGTCATTTTGCTCTGTTTGTGGGAGATAGACGACAATAACACAAATGAGATGGAATGAAAGGCCAAGTATTCTTGACATTTATTGAAAAATGAGAGGCTTGTAAACCTTAAAAAATCCCTCGCCAGTTTCCTCAAACTGAAAGATTATAACAGAAAAACCTCCAAGGAGGTCACAGGTCAAAGGTCAACTGGCGAGGAAAACTTTCAAAACAATAAATCAGTGAAAATTAAGCACAAATTAATCTCCCACAAAGGTGTGTGCCCCAGAAACGCCCACACCCACCTGCGCCATAATTACAATGGAGGTGCACGGGGTGGTGGAGGGCGACTAAAATTGTAGAAGAAACAAACTGCAAGTCGACGGTGTAGTTCAAAAGAGGTAGATCAATGTTGCTGCCCCCCTCTAAGGCACAATTAAACAAGAATGCGCCAGCCATAGAGGGCGCTCTCCAACTGGTATTAAAATACAATTGCATGTATATAAATCTGATTATCTGTCTATAATCTATGCTTTCATCAGCTACTACAAGATTACATTTATTTTTCACAGTATCTAGTTTTGTATGTGTTCATGTGGATACCACTGCTATACTTTACTCAGAAGTGATTTGTGATAAATAGTTGAGTTAGGGGGTCCTCTTGCTTGAAGCTCTATCCTCTGGCGCGGACATCCGGGCATTTTCACCGCCTGGCAACCCGCGGCGGTGAAAACAAAGGCCCAAAACTCGCAGAAAACGGTACTTTGGGATGACTGTTGAGACTCCTCTGAACAGTGTAACAAGATTAGCCCTACGTGTGTAACATATATAAATTTGGTTGTTCGGGATTACTTCAAAGTTGAGTTTGTGTTGTTTTCTCGAATTTTCAACGGCTCGACCGGCTTTCCACAGCAGCGCGCACAGAGCCCATAGAAATGCATGTACAGTGGTGCGCGTCGTAGCAACGTGGAACGTCCTGTGACGTAGCTCCGCCCCCGAGGATTGCTGTTTTACAGATTTTTTACAGTCTTTGCATAGTGTTGCATTGCGTGCCTGTACATGTATCTATTCATATTAATTACCTAATTTGTGTATATATTAATTAACCAATTTTAAACTTTCAAATTGTTTCCGAAGAACCTCTAACAGAGTACCGTATACATTTCTTTTATTTTTGGGGGTCTCATGATGGATATTTATGCATATTAATATTGTCTAATTTGCATTATAATAAGACAATTTTTCTATTGAGTAGATTGCTTTGAATCTCAACTATATTATTAGTTGACATGCTTCTTAGTTGCTAGGCTGCTTTTAATTTTGCAAATTATTTGAAAAAGAAATCTTTGGTCTTTTTTCTTCTTTGACAGACAGGAATTATTTCTAAGCTTTCTGTGATTTTCTTTCAGAAATGTCTTGCTTGCTAGAAGCCCTTGAAGATAAATCTGTGCGCTTAAATGAAGAATGTCGCCATATGTTGACACAGAGAGTTGAAATGTGGGAGTACGCTGCTAAGGTAATTGCTGATAACCTAGAATGGGCTATTTAGAAATCTTGATTGAGTTTATCTTTATGAAAGAACAGTTTCTTATTGATAATAATAGGGGAGGGGGTGCAAGTGTTTACCTAACAGAGTTTACCTGTATGTTGATTGATAAACTGTTCTTTTGTAATTGCAGGTGGCACCTCCTGAAACTGTAGCAGATCTTATGCAACAGATACAAATGTCTCCGTCTCGTAACTATTACATCATTATACTTCTATGTGTGGTCGGCTCTCTGTTTATTGGTGGACTATTCTGTGGACGTGCAACAAAAAGAATTAAAGCAGAATTGAAAAATAAATGAACTCTTTGCTACTAGCAACATTGGGTTGGGGTCTACACTACCCTTACACATTGTTTTTGTAAAAGTACAAATTCTTCTTTCTTTATTGTAAGCAGGTTTATATTTATTTTTATTCCGGGTCAAGTCTATGCTGATCACATACTGGGATCTTTTGACATGTGGTTTTCCAATATGAGATTTTTTTAAGGTTTACAGTGTCCAGAATGGCAGCTATAAAATAATCTCTTGTACTTGAGGGAAACTAAGGAAGATGTGTTGGGTCTCTAGTATATCTATGATGTTAGTAGTGTTTTCTTTGGGAAGGTGGGTGGGTGGGTGGGTTTGTGGGTGTGTTGTGGGGGGTTTGTAAAAATCATACCTTATTGGCACGGTTAAAAATATTGAATCTTTTTCTTCTGAAATTGCAGTATACATATTTTTTTTAAATACATGTAATATTAATTGAAGATTTGTGTCTAGGAGTGGGAGATGACATGACACTGTATAGTTGGTATTAGTTTTTGTTCTCTTTTATATATAATGTCAGTCTGTTGAATCATTGTCATTCTAACCTACCAGTGTGATCATTATCAGCTTAAAGGAGAATTTTATATAAGGTATATATTCATGGACACAACATAATCTCATATAGATGCCGTATAGAGGCTTGCAACTACGACTTTAGTATCAATATATTTGATGCATTCATGAGATTATTTTTGACAATCATTAATTTGCATTGACTCAGTAGGCAAGTTTAGATTTGAGTTGCTACACCTTTGCGTTTTCACATGGTCAATTCATTCATTCCTTTGTCTGTTTGCTGCTATTATTTTGCTTAATTTCTTGAGTGTATTCCCTCAGCTATAAGTACAGATGCCATGTATTGTTTGTGTGCACATGTATAAATAAATGTTGCAATTAGCTACTTAGCCGCATGTCATATTATCAAATTATCGGCTATTAGCTAAATGTACATGTCATATTAGCATTTTAGTAGTTTAGAAAAATGCACGAAAACCACCATGTATATTGGACGTGGGGGAAGCAGTATGGCATACTGACTTATAGCATTTCTGTGGGTTAAAAGCAAGAATAATAAAAAAACGACATCATTCAGTTCGCATGGCATTATCTTAACTGATTTGATGCTGATAATTTATTAATGTATGGTTATTGCTGGTATGCCTTGTATTTTGTATTTTTATTAACTACAGAATAATGTTCACTGTAAAGCTTATTTAAGTACTTTATAAAAAAAAAAATGACAAGAAGATGGAGCAGGAGCAATTTTCTTTTTCTCTAATCATTGGCTTAATTTTGGGGGAAATCCTATGCCTGAGTTCAGTACACAAGTTAGGCGTGTTGATGCAATCTTTAAAAGCCCCAAAACACTTTTTTAAAGCTACATGAAAGATTGTAAGGTCAATATTATATTGTCATTAATTTATATATAAATGGCTTGTCAGTGGCAACAAATAAATATCACAAAACTATGTCACAATCCTGCAAATCAGTAACTAGTGTATTTATTTAGAATTTAATTTTTTTTTATTGTAGAGGATTTTATTCTTTATTTATAGAGCTTTGTTTTGTATGTATTTAAATTCAACTACTTTAAAAAGGGAGGGAGGGAGGGGGTGCTCTAATAATGTGTGATAACTATGCTATAATCCAATAGAAAATCAACTTGCATACCAAATGACATTTTAGTTTATTTTTAATTAATTACTGGATTGAAAATTGGTGAATAAATCGTAATATGCATATCCTATAATGCAGACTTTTTTGTACGTGCGTGTGTGCGTGCATTCCGACCTACATCTTAGACATGCCTGGACCAATTACATTCAAACTTCACACATATATCATACATAATATAATTATACATCTGTCACCATAACGGCGTAAGATACAGCGTGCCGTAATTTTGCCGGATTTTACAGGCTATTTTCATCCTACCATATTTGGAAATGCGGCATTTCATGATGTATTCGTGAAAGGAAAAGATGTATAATAATAAGGTTATTACGAAGATACCTTAAAGTATGCACTCAGACAGTATGCTGTTGCATCGTCCTCCGCTGCGCGTCTGTCAATACTGCCGCTGTACTGCCTTCATGCATACTTTGAGGTATCCTCTTAATAACCTTTTATTATACATATGCCCATCAATTTGTTTCAGGATTTGATTCAAGATTTTTGTGCTGAAAAATCATCAAAATCAAGAATTTATCGATTGATTTTGTTCAAACTTGATACATATGTTGGATGTTATGGTGGCCATTTTGTTTTAATTAATGCTGTTCCTGAGCAATATGGACAAGTACTAATTTGATGATCAGAAACAAGATGACTGAATGTCAATCATTTCAGTGTTAAAAAATCATCATAATCAAGCATCAGCTTCTGGATCCATATCTTTGACATGTTTATGTTCTAACTATATTACTATAAACAAAACTATATATCTTAAGTTTGATAACTAATGGGGACTGTGTCATGCATGATTTGGTTTTTTTGGTTCTTGTTTGAACAAAGTCAAAAACTGAAAATTGTAATTTCACATTTGTAGGAGTTTATATCCTTTCCAAGCTCACATATTACACATCTTGCATAGGTATTTGTTTTATGAAATGATTGATAGATATAGTTCATCTGTCTACTTGTATTGTCGCATTGGGTTGTAAATACACAATACAACCAAATATAAAACATGGTTAGTAATATTTGTGTTGAAATGGGGAGGGCTAGAATCAAATTGGCCATTAACACAAAAACTAACACAGAAGTAATATTTCCATTATGGGTGCTACCTGATATTATGGATAACGCCTCGGCAGTCATGCTATTTCTCACACATAAGCACTCCTATGAATTGGTGCCAAATTTGATCAAGATCTGAAGATAATAGAAAATCTGTTTAGTCAAAAGTTATCAAATCAAAAACAATACATAAAATATACATAAAAAGCAGAACATTGCATCCACATTTTGAAAAGAAAATTGTACTGTATTCTGTATTTGACAAACAGTTCATTCGACAAATCAAAATTCACAGGAATTTGTTTCAGCTATTAGAACAGAATGATAGAGCTTTTATAATACTAATTTAAAAACAAAGATTGTAGTGTTTGAAGATGTAGATTCTCAGGAGGCGACAGAACTGTTGAATTCTCCCTCCACTGGACACCAACTATTTAAGTTGATTTGCATACAAAGCAGAGCTTGCAACATGATAGTAATTCATAGAGGGCGTTTTTACTTTAAAAATAATACAATAGTCACACAATAAATATAACAAGGCAGTTCATATTTGTTCCAGTGAATCATTAATTTTTGACGAACACCTGTACAAAATACTTGGACAAAATCCAGCTAAGATTTCCTGTTATCTTGCATGTTTTATGAATCTATTCACGTCTAAATGAATCTTTTTTTCTGAGATGAGACATTTGTTTT